GCAACTTGCTGTGCTCAGGGTTGTGAAAGCGTCCTTCCCCCCCCCCCCCCCCGACGCACAGCTAGTGCAGTGCGGTAAAGCGCCAGTGTAATCTGAGCCTGCAGCGCTGCACGCTCACTCACAGCGCTGCAAGCTACTCCACCTCTCCGAGGGGAGTAGCTTACAGCGCTGCGAGAGCTCTCTCGCAGTGCTGGCGGCACGACTACACTCGCGCAGCGCTGTGAATTCCCAAGTGTAGCCAAGGCCTAGTCTTCTAACTAGCCAGGGGTGGAGAAACCTTCCTGTTACCTGGCTTTTATGGAGCAGGGACAGTTGATCTAGTGAATCTTTGAATTGTAGTGTTTTGCAGTTGAAGGGCAAATACCCTTGATTGTTAGTTTAGACCCACCCCAACTACACCAACTCATCTAAACTTACCTTCTCTTTCTTGCCTGGCTGAAGCTTAACCCACTGTTTTTCACTCAGGTGCTTTGTCTCGCCAAAGCAGGCACACAGCCAGCTCCTTTAACTTCCCCCACATCCACAAGGCAGCAGGCAAAGTGAGGCGGTATCCACAGCCAGACGCTTTAAGATCTTGCTGAGGAATGCAAAGTTGCTTGTCAGCTCAGCTAGTATCTTTCACAAGCTGAATTTAGACAAAACATCTGCATCTCTGAGACCTGGCCGGAAACCTTGACCAGCCTGGTACTAACCCAATTGACCCTACTCTACTAGCTACTCAGTAACAATGTAGGCCAAGAAGAAAGCAAGGGCAAATCAGGAGAAAGGGAGGGTGAGGTAGAGACTTATTTCTCTCAGGGGCAGAAGAGACCCTATCCTGGACACACAAACCTTAACATGTTATACAGAGAGGTGTCTTGCTGCTGCTTGTTTTGTTAGAGCCCAGGTCTGACCTTCAGAGGTCAGTGTGATGCTTATCAGTTTGCTCAAACTCCTGCCTGAAAGGAATGGTAGTGAGTAGGGTATGGAGTTGACATACCTCCTAAAGATATCTAATGTGTTGGATAAATGCATTTATCCATTAAAAAGTACATTACGTAAAGACCCTACTCTCTTCAGCCTTAAACCTGACTTTAACACATACCCTATCTTCACCTAAACCAAGCTGATGTACCTGAAACATCAAATGTCCATTCTTAGGACAAGCTATCTACCGTGGGCTAAACGTCCCAGAAGCAACCTAGTAAATAGTGTTCCGAATCTGAAATAGAAGTTTCCAAAAGTGAAACCTTCTAACTTTTTATCTGGTCAAACGACTTGTCCTAGAAATTCCAAATTGGCTGATCTCAATGGAGAGATGTATTTTGCGGATTGCGGTTCAGGGGGATTATTGAGATATTCAGCTCTTGTGGCTCAAATGAAGGGTGATAGAGAACCAGGTCTGGTGAGGTCTGTGGTATGCAGTGGGGGAGCAGTCTTTCTCTCTTTATGGAGCGTGCACACTCCACTAAGGCTTCTGAGCAATTTCTCCCCCCCCCCCCCCCCAACTTGATTTGAGAGCTAGCTTTTCTCTTTTGGTGGAAAAATCCTTAATATTATGTGCCCTTTGGGGACCAACCCCCTCAATCCCGAGCTTCAGATTTTTAAGGTTCAATTTAAACCCAACCTTCCAAACACTACAAAGCAAGGACATGCACAGTCAAGGACCCTCAAGCAACCCTACCTGGCAAGTCACTTCACCTTTGTACCTTAGTTTACCTGTCTGTAAAATGGGGATAATGATACTTGCTGTCCTCTGTAAAGCCCTTCAAAATCCATAGATGAAAGACTTAATGATCCTAATATTAACAATTCAGCGTCTATCACTAAGAACAGCCAGAAACTGACAATCTTCTTCCCAAAGAACATGGGGTAATCGCCAACTCCAAAAAGTAACAGTTTACTAGTCTCCCTTATACTTAATCAGACACTACAATATCATTTAAACCAAACTCCACCTTTGTGTTAATTCCCATGGATGCACAGAGGCCATGACTGGTACACATCTCCAAACATACCTTTTGTTAGAAATACAGTAACTGTATCAAAGATACAAATCTCCTAAACACAGAACTTTAAATGATCACATTGACATGGTAAGAGCACAGTGGAGTTAAATGCAAAAGACCACATAGCCAGATTTTAAAAAGAGATCAGCACCAAGTAGCTTTCAGTGGCTGCTGCTGGGTGTTGAAACACTCTTTTAGTGTCTCGACAAACATATAAACCTGGTGTGCTGTAGTTCACTCTGTGTGCAATCTGAACAAATAGTGGCTTCCCTGCCTTAAAGAGCCTCTCATTCTTTGGGAGTGAACTTATTAAAGTCCTTATGAAAATAGCTTCAACAGAATTCTGTTCAGAGTCCTTCAAGAGGGTAAAATGGTCACATTGAAGAGGTTGGCAGTGGTATAAAGTAGAACTAAAGTTTGGATGACTTTCACTGTTGCCACACAACTGTAGACCTTTTTTAAGGTGGAGCCTGCGGTAGGACACTATAGATCAAATCCAAAGCCCACTGAAATCAAATGGAATTTTTCTATAAGCTGTAGAGAGAACTGGACCTGACCAGATCACAGCAGTCTGTAAGGTTTTTAAGAAGTGTGCATTTTCATAACTTCTCCCTGCTTAACCTGTTATAAAATACACTGTCTTCTTCCTAAACAAAATCTGCCCCAATCCAAAAGCTGTGCAAGCCTTTAAATCTCTCTGCTTGTGACCTAGTGTAGCGCACTCCGACTTTTTTGGTAATACGTCTGTTATTCTGTACAATTTAGACCAATTATAATGCAATATAGCTGAAAGGTTTTTTTAGGAGTGAACCCAGCCTGAATTGGGGGCCCCCCTGTATGTGTATTAATAATGAAATAGCAAGCAGATGTTGCAAATGAAGTGAACATGTTGACTTTAATTTATATTTTTTAATAAGAACCTGAAAAGTCTCAAGTGTAGCTCTCCCTGTGACTCCTTGCTGACAGATTTATTTTCAGTTAAAATAGCACTATTTCCTGCACTGTTTAAATATTGGTTATACTCTGCTTAGAAAATAGGTCTGTTTTTAGGAGCCACGGAATAACATGGAAGAAATTTAAGAATTTCAAGTGGGAGAATGTTTTTCATTTGAAAAACAATCAGTGTTTCATAGTATAATGGCAACCATGACACCAGCTGTGGTGGCTTGATTGCCCTCACCATCCTAAATCATTACATCATGACAGTGTTATGGAACCAGAGATCTTTGATTGGGACTTCACACACAACTATATTTATGGAAATAAGTATTTCTAAATAGCTGTGCAGCACTACCTGAGTGGCAGCAGAGATCCCCCTTCCTAATCTTTTGAAAAGGTTTTTCCCCTTTCTTTAACTTTTCGGCCTTTAAAATTCAGACT